CCGTCAATGCCATATGGTTTACACGGCCGCCCAAATCAGGATTTTTTTTGCATTTTTTTTCACGTTATTTTTCATATAAATTAAATAATAATATAATAATACAGGAACATATCGTACATTATTATTATTTAAAGTCATTATCATTTTATATCACACAATAAATAGGTACATATTATATTTGTTTTATTAGGAATTATTAAAATTGCATATTTTTTAAAATTTCCATGATTGTTATATAAATATAGTTTGTATTTTATTTCGGTTTGCCTTGAAAGTTAATCTTGATTTTGACTTGAGAGTTGAGATGACTGACTTGCTAGACACTCCAACACGGTTTTTGACTTTACACTTTTTACATAAGAAAAGGCACCGGACATGCGAAGGCACATACCACTCTATGTGATATACCTACTATATATAGGTGATAGACGGATTGCTCATTTTAGTTTCGTCTTAAACGGTGATGATTGACTTGATAGACACTTTAACAAATAACATGCAGGTTTTTGCAATTTTTTTTAAAATTAATATATTTACACTATAGGTACATGTTTATATGTATTGGTTAATATAATAGTATGTATCTAACTACCTACCTATATGTTAATATTTTTTAGGAATTATAATTGCACATTTCTCAAAATGTTCATTGTTATATTATATCACACAATAAATACATATCATATTTGTTTGTATGTATATAGTTTGAATTTTTCGTAAATAATTTCGTAAGTTGTGTGATAGGGTTTTCACTTATAGCCGCTTGATGTCGTGTCTGCAATCCACCGCAGGTGGATTGCCTACCTGATTTGCTGTGGCACATAGTCCGCGATCCGACGAAGTCGGATTGCCTACCTAAGTGGCTAACTTGAAAGTTAATAGATTTTGACTTGAGATGACTGACTTGCTAGAAACTCCAACACGGTTTTCGACTTTACACTTTTTACATAGGTAAGATAAAGCACCGTTCATGCTACGGCACATACCACTCTATGTGCAGCTATACTCTATATAGGTGATCCTGGAGATCGTATCCAGCCTGGCAGCCTATCCATTTACAACGTTTGTGACGGATTGCTAGACACTCAAACTTTTAACATTCCCGCCAAAGCGTCTAGCCTTATCTCCAATCCATATCACTAATCCTTATCACAAATCCTAAACTTTCGTCTTACAACCTTTGCGACTTTTATAATTCATTGTCTCCAAAATCGGTACCCACTCTCAGCGATTCCAACGGGCCCCGAGTTATACTTAGAGCTAGTATAAGTATATTTTTAAAAATTTTGGTTGAAAATGTCCAGACGGACACTTACATTAAAATAAATAGCGGCAATTTAAATATTCCGAATACACCGAAAAATAAATCAACTTTGTTTAAATGTGCTAGTAATACTATAATTTATAATATCATATCTGCTTCATTGTATTATAACATTATGACGCATACGCCTTATACGCCTTTTGTTATTTTTTATTTCGGAGAAAAACCGTTTCCCGGACCCAAGGACACAGGCTGCTCGTCATCGTCGTCGTCGTCGTCGAAGGATGTGAATGTCGTGTGAGAGTATACCAATAAAGTATAAACGCTCGCCGGAGGGTTAACTCGAGATTTTCGTATTGTAATATATAATAACAATGTGTTTATTTATTATTACATATATATATTATTTATTTTTTTATTGTCAGAGGTGTATACTTATTATTATTTTGTATACACATATTATTGACCAAAATATAGATTCCTGTGGCGGATAGGAACCGGTAGACGCAACACCAAATATTATACCTACACATATATATAGGGATAAAGCCATAATGGTATATACTATATGGTATATACTTATATACGTTACCGACCACGAAAACGACGTGCACGCCGTACCTACTACTCCCTGCTCGCCGAAGGGGGTGTGGGAAAAGGGTTATTATAATGTAATTATATTTTAATGTTACTGGCCCCTTCGTTACGATACGTCGAGCAGGACACGCGCGGGCCGACGACGTAAACGTAACAGGTTGTTGTATTATTACATAGGTATATCGTATTATTATAATATTTATATATACCTATTTATAATAATTCGACGACTTTCGATTTTTGAACTATAATATAATAATCACGTTTTACAATAATACTGGTTAAAACGTTTTTAACCGAAACCGTTTCAACTAAACTCGTCTAAACCTATTTGTAGAATAATAATATAATATATTATGCCCCGGAGGACTCTTCCGCGATAGCGTCTCCTCGTCCGACCCGCGAGACGGCGTCGTTACTCGCTGCAAGTCGCAACAACAAGTCACTTCTTCATTATAATTGTATATTGTACGATAAACGTGCACGATAATAACATTATTATAACTGGAGATTCGCGTGATCTATACTCACAGGATTTCCACTCAAAATCGGTTCGCGTGTGCCGAATGGTTTCCCGCGTTACGCGAATAAATCACGCCACTGAGACGCGTTTCTCCGGCCATAATAATATTATAATATTAACGATTCGGTCCAACCCTCCTCCCCACGACGCCTCTCTAAGAGTTCCAACACTAAAAAATCGCTAAAAAATCACTTATGTCACACAGCTGCCGTGTCTGTGCGGTTAATATAAACCATATTATTACCAACCATATTAGGTATCTACGCACATTGGAATAATTTCTTGTTCGGTGTTACTTATACACCATGGTATCGGTACGATTATTATTATTTAAATTACAATGAAGTTTTGATTGCAAATATCGACGTGAATTGCTAAATAGTTGGCGAAAAACCGAGGCACGTGTTTGCAGAATTTGACGTTGAAACGTATAGGAATTAATATATTTATTAATATTATAGTTGGATCGTAAAAATTACAAACTATATAAAAGAATAGGCTTACCACTTGTGTGGTTATATAAATAGATAGGTGTACATTATTATACCAATACAAGTCTATAAATCGCATTTAACCGTATCGTATCGTCGTTACTTTTATCATCACAATATTATAATAAGATTCTCGCTCAGTACAAATACAAACATTTTTCGAGCATAGGTATACATACCATTAAATACTACCGTGAAAGAACGGATTTCGAGATAAAACAACAATTATTTCAACTATAGACGCAAATATGGGGGAGGAGGGTCGAGCTAGGAAGCTCAGCTCACATAAACATTTTCGGATACCCTACTGGGGTACCAGAGATAACTTGATAAAATACAAGGCGTAACTATATACTTCAAATGTGTACCAAAATAAAGATAATTCCCCCCCTCTCCAAAAAAAAAAAAAAATTATAATATTATACCTATATATTTTATGTCTGTGGTTTGAAACTCTGAACAGATATAAAACCTATTACTATTACATATTATATATTGCGTGCGTTTTCCATTTAGGTAGACATTCATGGACGCACTGTGCAGCGCACAGTGTTTCGTTGCAAGAAACTAATCCAATTATACTGCAACCAGTGATGGCGCCATGCTGGCAAGCTATGTTATACATTTTAGGTGCAGCTCCTACTTCGATTTTCATTAAACCGTCTACTTCCTATGTATACATTTATTCTATATAATTTGTGCTCGCGTGTTGGATTCAACATATACATATTATATCGTACATGTTCAGTCGAACTGCAAATGCCGACTGACAGGAGTTTCATTTGTCAAAGTACGTAATTCCGATCTTCCGAGACACTGTCGTCGTCGACTTGTCGTTCGTCTCGGAATCTCCGAGAAACCAATTCCATCCGATTCCGTCAACGAGTGCATATTATTGTGCGATAATGTTACCTACTTTGAAAGTATTATTGGATGAACGCGTATATGCGGGAGGAATAGGACAGGGGTGGCAGTAAGTCACAGCGGTCGACAGGGAGCAGAACGTTATAAATTATAATATTATGGAAATAAATCTGGCCGGAGAGTCAATTTTCTCAGGTAAATCCCAATCATTGTCGCGCTGCAATATTGTGATTTTTCGTAGAAAGAACAAAATATAAATGGTGAACCGCATTTTCAATCGAAAATTTAATATTTATATGTAAACTGTAAAATATGTGATCTAAAGGCGATCGGCGAGCAGTGGCTACGACTTGCGAGCAAAACGGAAGGAAAAAAAAATACATAAAACTATAAAAGTCGACGCGATTACAGTGTCGCGTAGGTATACCTATAGGTATATCCGTATAATAATCGACGGACAACGTGCGTGTTTGTCTAACATAAAAGCGACGGCGTGCATAAATCGTGGTAAAGAAAATTATTGTGCACACCGTATATAATTATTTATTGTTTATTATTATTATTACTATGCTATTGTAATGTGCGGAGGAAATTGTTTATTATGTTTTTTCTGTTTCTTGCTTTATATTCACTCGCGTATCATGTTGCTGGTGGGACAGATTTAATCGTTTCGATATTTTTTTAACAACAACAACAACTAGCGGTTATTAGGTATTACACGCGAAATAATAATATTAATTAGTTTGAGGTAGCACATTGAAATTAAAAAATAAAGTAAAATAAAAAAATAAATAAATGATACACGCCCGACATTTATTATATTATTACTGTTATTATTATTACAATACCGATTCGATAATGTAATGTCGCCGTATGGCAGAGCATTGTATCACATAAACAATCATATTTTGACTTATATGATTTAGATGGGTCGTATATATACAAACGATAATGGGCCAGTGATAAATGTTAAGACTTAATGGATCTCTTATATAAAATATAATATAATGTATCACACACTCGCGCAGTCTTACACCAGGACTTATGTTTGTCGAATCGTGTTTTATAATAACGACGATTTGTTTCTCAATATTCCAGACTCGATTTGTTAGTATGATGCGACCACTACTCGATCTCCAGCGCATTAAAAACTCTATTATTATCGTATGGAAAGTCACATCGCCGTGAAAAACGCTTTATTATATGGGTCGGAAAAGCGCGAATATTGCGAATAGGCGATATGTGTTATATGTGTATCTTATTATTTGCTGTTTTGCCGACGAGTGAACCTGCCGAAATCGCTCGTTCCGTGGAAAGGTCGAATTATTTTTTTGTCGCTTGGCATAGCGTCTGCACTTGTGTAAAACGAAGAAGCGTCAGACACGACGAGATGAAATAAGTTTTTTTTTAATGTGGCGTTGAGAAAAGTAAATAATTTGTTGTTCGACCGGCGTGAAATGAACGATATTTCGCGGCGCTTTTGGAAGTACGCTCTCACTCTCTGTATAGGAGCTGTACCTAATTCATTGTATACGGTGTCGTCCGATTGTCTGTTGGATAAGTTTGTTCCGAAATCGTCGCCGAGGAAACAAAACGAAATCCCGAGAAATGATACTGTATTCTCTAGAAACACAAGACGGAATCTTCTCCAACAAACAGATTCGCGGTATCCAGATAACAGACGAGAGACTTCTGAAAAGTGTGAACTCACTGAGCTGATGTACATTTTCACAGGCGCCTGCACTGGGTTGTTTAAATTATAAAATAAACGTACACCTACTGTTTTTAATTGAATTATTTATTTTTTTTTGTTTTGTTTTTGCTTATTAGATTTATTGCTACTCGGGCTATAAATTAATTAAATTTCACATCAAAAGTTTTCAATGCGGATTCGTTCAAGTCTAAAGATTTTTTAACTCTAATGACATAATATTTTACGTTCTTACGATTTGTAGTGCGTATTTGATGATTGTAGCAAATGATACATCATATATTATATTCGCTAATAAAATATGATAATAAGTGAAAAAATAAATAATAATAATTTGAGTAGATTAAATACTTCGTAAATCAAAAAAAAAAAAAATAAAGACTTTAAGTTTATGATTTCTTTAAGTACCAACAATATATTTATTGTGCCTCTCATAAAAATATATTATAAGCCAGTATTTATTTATTTATTTATTTATTACTTCCACTTTAAATGTGAAGAGTAGTTGATAATATTAGGTATATTTAATATTTATACATTTGTATTCTATGATTCAAATATTGAATCTAATTAGCTTACAATAGTTTTCAATCTAAAAACATGCAAATCCTAAAAGTAAACATCGAATTTAGGTACATAATATTTCTATTTTCCTCGTTGCATATAATTATTGTTTATTAAGTAATTAGTTGGTACATCTTTCGGATCATTCAAGACTGACGACTGATATTACATTAAAAAAAAACACACTTTACCATAAATTAAAGACGTTTAACTGTTTTCTGTTGGTATAAATTAATGACCGTCAAAATTTCGTCGACAGCGGTTGTCATCACAATAAAAATTCTATTATTATTACGATAAACAAATGTTTTCCGACCATCAGATCGGGAACAGTGATTTTCAGACGAAGATGCGTTCAGAAGCGATACTTTTACTGTGTCTGAGTTTTTCCTTGATCTTGGCGTCGTCGTCGAGTAAGATAGTGAGTTGGGATTACGTTCATCGTAACGGTACGTTGATTCCTGACCACGTAACGCCCTATTGTAGGGCCGTCACGTGCAACGGCAATAGGAACACGCCCTACGACGAAACACCTTCTGACCATCGATATACACCGTGGCGGCCGTACTACTGTTATCCGACGTCTACCAGTTGCTGTCCGCCATCTACCAGCTGTTTACCGTCTACCAGGCCTCCACCACCGTCTACCCGCTGTCCACCGTCCACCCCCTGTCCAACGCCGCCGACGAGCTGTCCGCCACCACTGGCCTGCACGTGGGTATCGGAGTATCTGTTTAATGGCCGCAGGAAAACATCACCGTGCAACACTCGTCGGACTACACTGCCGTGCAAGACTCGTCGGACAACACCGACCTGCAGTCGGACGACACCGCGACCGTGCACGACCTGCAGTCGGACGACACCACGGCCGTGCACGACCTGCAGTCGGACGACACCGCGGCCGTGCACGACCTGCAGTCGGACGACACCGCGGCCGTGCACGACCTGCAGTCGGACGACACCGCCGTACAAGACTCGTCGGACGACACAGCTGTGCACGACCAGTACTCGGACGCCGCCGCCACCATGCACGACCTGTAGTCGCACGCCACTGCCGTGCATGACCCGTCGGACGCCACCGCCATGCACGTCCTGTCGGTCGCTTCGGAGTTCCAAAATCGGAAAGATGCAATTGTGCCATCAACATGAAACTACAGTGTGCTCGCGACATCACCACTGCAGGTTGACGACGATGCTGCCCCCCGTTTATTGCACCTGCTAAGTTCTTGTTTAGTTTAATTGATTTTTTTTTTCGAAAGAATTATTACTACTTATAGTTTTTAAGTTAAATATCATTGCGTTGGAACTGGGGTACTGTTCGTATTATCAAAAACATTTTTTTTCTTTTTTTTTTTATGATCGAGTGGCATACAAGTATAATGTATATTATAACAGAACAGTACCGAAACCAGTAGGGGGTATCTAATATGAATATTGTAATTAAATAAAAACACGATTTTGTAAATAATAAACTGTTTTCATTTTGTAATAAAAAAAAAGACTTTTATTACTAAAGCCAACAATTATATGCCCTAAAAATCTATAAAATATGTATGCAGTTATGCCCTAAAAATTACCAAAATATGCCCTTAAAATATGCTCTAAAAAAAATGTTATTGTAAAAAAATGATTAAATGATTTATTTTTTTTATGTATTATACAATTTATACTATAATAATACAATATTATTATTTATTGCCAATGAATAATGATTTACAAAAATGTGTGATATTAAAAAATATTTAAAATTAAAAAATTAAAATTAAAAAACAAAAACATTAATCAGATGATAAACATTTTAATTTTTACCCGATGTTATTACATTGAACAATTAATGATTTGTATAAGTTTTCAAACAGCATTGAGCGTCGATTGTCCGTTAACAAATTTTTGTAGCGTGAAAAGGAACGTATGCGTATACTTTTCCAGAAACGAACGAAAATAGGTATTTTGTAATTTATTTAATGGTATATTGGCTGCTAACAACGTTTTGCACAAATCTTTATTGAAAGAATTAATTTTTGATGTAGTAGGTAAAAGTTGTTGAGTCTTTTGTTGTTGGTCGCCGAGTCGTTGAATACCACGTGAGTGCTTAGACGTTTTAAGATGTTGTAAAACTGTAAATCGTTTTTCACATGTAACCTTTGCCTCACATATTTTACAAAACAATATATTCCCATCCGAAGAAAATATATTTTCTCCAAATTCAGAGATGTAACTATTGATACGACTAGTGTTGGAAGTTCTCACTTTCGGCATTTTAAAACGGTCGATTTAATAACGCACCACACGAGTATAAAGACCGACTGACGACTGTAATAGGTGCGATATAATATAATATGATATTTATCTGAGATAAATTATCTCTATGCGATACTGTTACCGATATACGGACATATAATTGTTGTAAGATTAGATAACCACTTTTCATAAATGAGCTGAAGTATCAATAATAAGGTATATGAGTGAAACAAATTAATATTTTGTAATTCCCGAGTTTTTAAGATCTTAAATCCAAAAATATGCTCCAAAAATATACTAAATGCTAAAATATGCCCTAAAAATGCAAAAATACCATAATATGCAAAAATATGCGAAATAAAATTTTGTATACAGCATCGTTAGGTTATAAAACAAATTTTGGTATTAACTAGCTATTTTTTTGACCAACCAATAAAAATATGCAAATGCATACAAGTGTTGGCCCTATTTATTACCAATTTCGTCGTACATGGTTTTTTTAATACTTGTGCAACTTTGCGTTCTTATGAAATATGAATTGTAATGGTTATGCAATACCTACATGAGAAAATAAAAAATATAATGTCGTAGCTGTGATATAATATACATATAGGTATAGGTAATGGGTATACACTATACATCTTAGAGCAAAATATAATAATAAGATAAGTAAATATTTATCCAATTTGTATTCATCTGATTGTAAATTTAAGAAATTAGTGTGCATTTTTTTCTTAATCGTAGTTTGTCTTTATTTCATTTTACTGTAAATGTATTTTTTGATAAATGTATTTTATGGTATATATTATGAGAAAATAACTCTTCACCTTCAACACAAGCTTGCTTATAGAAGGTAGATACACCAAAATGTTTGCAGTAAACTTGTATTTCAGACACTTGTAAGTTGTGCTTCGATATTTTCTTACATTGAGCATTTGAGACATGTGCTAGAGCTGGAGAAAAAAAATCAGACGAAATCCTTGAAATTGTGTTGAATTTCAGCACTGATTTACACAACCGTACACGCTCGCCGTAGGTATAAAGTGAACAAATATTCGATTTTTGTGAGCCTCCCTATGGGGGCAGGAAAAATGCTAAAAACACTTTCCTAGTCTATTGGTATGACTTATATTGAACTCGGTCATTACTTGTGATTTACTTTTTTCATCGCAACTCGCGTTTGTTACTGTTCGCTTTTTTGTTCGTTTGCATGAAATTACTAGTCAAAGAGAATGCTCATGGATGTTTACACATCAAAAAATAGTGTACAGAATATAATATATATAATCTTCGTGCCATAGTGAGTGAAAATTACTTGTTGAAAAAGTGAACCAAGATGTATATGGTCAGAAAATGAGCAAACAAGACTGTTCAGTTAGGATTTCATTAGCTATAGCAACATCGAGCAATAGTTATGACTTTTAATGGTTAACTATTTTGTATAGTTTAGTGAAACCTGTCTCGAGCAAAATTGCATGGGACCAGATAATGGATCCGCTTAACTGAATAAATATAAAATTCTGTCTTATTGAAAACAACATATTTTTGATAATAAGCATAATGAAAGTTAAAAAATAATAAATACAATTTGGCATAGGTACTTTATACTTTGTACTATGTTAATGATTAACAAACATTAGAATGTGGTAAGTAAATTTAGGGCATTTGGGCGAGCGATTTTAAAACATTGTAATGTGTTTGGGCGATCTTTTTTAATATCCTGGGATTTTGTATTTTATCAATCTATTTTCCCTCTCATTTTGACAGACTTGGGTTGTCCATGAATTCCGAGGGTATGATTAAAAGTAGATTGTTTTTTTTTTGTGTGTGATTAAAAATTGAAATATGTGCCATATTGAGACTGATATAAAATTCCCTATAGATTTTATATAATTAATTATTATTCTTTTTATCTTAATATTTACAAACATACAATTTTATCTTTTACATTGTATCATACTCGCCCAAACACATTACTTTTATAATGTGAGTATATAAGTAATTCGCCCAAACGCATGACGCCCTCTAATAACCCTTATTATTCGAGTTAATATTAAAATATTTAATTGTTTAGCAAAATGTCCAAATATTTTTATTATTAAACAATTAATAATTGATTATAAAATCGAACAAATTACATAAAATATATACAAAATTAATTATTTATTTTATTCAGGCTTTATAGTTAAATCAGGTGTTTCGAAAATAGAATCATTTGGATTATATGGGTTTCGGGTGTTTTTAAGGGTTTTAAGGGTGTTACGGTTCTTGTTGATTCGATTGCAAAGCCCTGTACAATCATATTATTTGTAAAATAAAACAATTTAATTTTAATAAGTTACACATTCTTACAAATGTTGGTTCAAAATTCGATATTTTGAATTATTCAAAATACCCTTCGAACCACAATAAATATTCATATTGAATTTAGAATTTGAATCTTTTTGTTTATGATGGGCATAACAATTGAGTAGTTCTAATAGTCTCTGGCATAGCCGCATCGGTATACTTTTTAAATTATGATACTCGAACTAAAATAGTTTTATAAAAAAAACGAATGTGTGTGGTAAACTAAAGCAGGAAACAGAGTGAGCGTCATGAGGTGATCAAATGACTCCTATACTACCCTGAACTGACTATTTGGCATACACACAAGTTTTTCTATTTTATTAGGTATGTTATTCACAATTTAGATGATATTCCTATTGATATTATTAATTATTATATTAACGTGAAATAGATACAATGAAAAAACTAAAATATTGATGAAAAATGCAATAATTTATGTTTTTTCACTGTATAAAATGTATGAGATTTGTCACAACGTAAAACTATTAAAAATATGAATATATATTTCTTGTTATTTCGAAAATTGCTTATGATTTATTCTTTTTTTTTTAATCCGCATGTTTTTAGTTCAAAGTTTTAGATTTTTCTGCATATAAATACATACTTCTGAACTTTTTAAAGCATAATATTTCAATTTATATTTTTCCAGTTTTTAGTGCATAAGTGCATGCTTATTTTAAGGCATAAACTTACGAGCCCTGCATATTGTTGTATACGAAAAACGATTCTGAACGAAGATGGAATGTCGGCCCATATTACTAAATAATAAAAATATTATATGATATGAATATTTATATTGCTATTAAAGTAATTTATTTTACTAATAGTAATTGTGAATTTGAAAATTAAATTAAATTTATAGTATATTATAATAATTCACCTTCGTTATATGTTTCAAGTATCAAGAATAATACTTTTAAATTAAAAAAAAAATAACCATATAAAACCGTTATTCTTCGTTATTGATGACGCACGCACACACCACACAAAACACACGATTGTAGAACTAATACATTCTTTGCTTCACTTACAGAGACTAAAATATGTTCTATATTTTACTTCGGTATACAAAATGTATAACAATATAACAAATTGTGATACTATCATTTTCGAAATAACATCAAATAAATTTAAAATCTTAAAATACTAGATAACGGTTACGACGTGCAACCTTTGGCACAAATATTGAAGGTCTTGTTCGTGCGATAGACGATCGACGACATGTGGTGGAAGCCGTCGTCGGGCGGACGGTCGACGTGATGGTTACTGTCCAAACCCTAATCGGTGGTGGTTTCACGTTTGGTAACATCCACTGTGACTCGTTTAGCTCTTCGTCAATGGAATCAAATGACAGTGGGCAGTCCATGGTAGTAGTACACGGAGGTAGTGTCGTGACTAAGGAAGTTGATGACGGACATGGAGTTGGCGGAGTTGTTGACGGACATAGTGTAGGCGAAGCTGTTGACGGACATAGCGTGGGCGGAGTTGTTGACGGACAAAGCGTAGACGGACAAAGCGTAGACGGACAAAGCGTAGACGGACTTGTTGACGGTGGTGGTGGTGGAGACGGAAGCGGTGACGGAAGGGGCGGTTGACATGTTGTAGACAGAGTTGTTGAAGGAAGTTTTGACGGAGGTGTTGTAAACGAAGACGAAGGTGGCGACGGGCTCGGTGTACACGGTGGAGATGGAGGTGGCGACGGGCTCGGTGTACACGGTGGAGATGGAGGTGGCGATGGGCACGATGGAGAGGGTGGAGACGGAGATGGCGACGGACATGGTGTAGACGGTGGAGACGGATTTGGCAACGGGCATAGTGTAGACGGCGGAGACAGAGATATCGACGGACATGGTGTGGACGGCGGCTTGCGGAATGGCCACAGTATCATCGGATTTCGGATCGAGGACCTCGGCCGCTGTGGGCCGCACGTGGTGGTCACCGGCACTGATTGACAATCGTTTATCGTGTTTGGCTTGGTGGTCGTGCTTTTGATGTCGTCTCCCGTCTGAGTCCCGACTGCCATTTTGGTGGTCGATGACGGGTAAACGTAATAATAATAATAATTGAAGACAACGACCGTCCCAGACGATGTTGGAAATACGTACCACATGAACATAAAAAAATTTAAGTACATATTTATGAAGTTATCTTTTGTGTATATAAAGATAATAAACAGCGAGGATTGATAAAGAAACTTTAATTTCAAATCATAATTTGTTATCGAATATTTTTGGATAACAGCAATTTTATACATTAACTATGGTAATTCGACGATGACCGTAGTGTAGTTGTTGAAACACAAAATCATTTGGCCAGTATGTGTAATTAAATTACGATGATAACGGCAGCACCATATTGCAATAAATATATTATTTTGTATGTACCTAATATTTCGTTATCGTGATTCGTGATTTTCGGATGTTCCCATCTCCGAAATGTCGATTACTCCACAGCGGTGTAGCTAAATAGCCTATACAGGACGCCGCCGTGGGATAGAAATAATTATTTTGTAATCGAATGGCCGGAAACTGATTAGTCACATTGGCAGTACTAAATACCTAGTTTATTCATTAATCTATGGTATTGCGGACGTGGCTGAAAAATAGAGGAAAACCACGTCGAAGCGTAGATCGGCCGTCCCGCGGACGTTAGGCAGATACGATTTTAAAAGAAGAAATCGGAGTGTATCGAAACGTATCGGATCGAATTTGACCGTTTCGAGAAGTTACAAGTGCAGAATACAAGCCAACCTGTATCGGACTATACGACTTTGTGCGTAACTATTCCTCAACCAATACGTACCTCTAGTCTATATCTATAGACTAAATTTTAACTGAATAACTCTTTTCGTTTGATTTATTGAATATTGTAATTTTTTTATACAGTGTTTAAAATATACAGATTTTGAAATTTGTATGCAATCAATTAATATAAAAAATATATAGGGTACGCAAGCCAAGCTATTGGCTTCAAATATCACTTGATTTATGCCTCCTTTACGATTATTGGACCAATATTGCGCAGTCTGAAATTTAATGGAATCGCGGCAACGGTATAAGTAGGTATAGTAAACAAAGGTACTTCATATAATATATTTTATCACGTCGGTATGGTTTGAATTCGATCGCTTTTAACAATAGTATTATTGAACTCGCACGTAGATATCGAATTATGATTAAATATTTTTAAATTTTTGTTATAATATATGAACAAAATACAATCGTGTAAGAAAATCGTTTTACTCGCGGTTTAATTCCGCTGGTAATCGTTAATTTTTCTCACATATTATATAACGTCGTTTATTATTGAGAATTTATTTTTCAATAATATGTAACGTACCTATATGCGCATTTTCCACACACATGGATAATGTATACACTATGACGTCGTATACGCATATACATTGCAGAATAAACTCGAATCGCATACACGATAAGTCATCCAATTTAGTTGACGTGAATTGAGATAAATCGGGTTCTCGCGTTATCCGCATACATAATAATATTATAATGATCGTGTTCTTCGTGCCACTTTTTTTTATTTTTATTTTTTTTGTACGACCGATACGACGAGATTCATTCCAATCCCCAGTCGGTTATAGCCGGCGAAGCTGCCACCTGTTTATATATTTTTATACGGACGTACACATATTATACGCGAAACGTACCGTCATCAATTTCTCCGGCTCCTTATAACCGATTATTTCAATGGTAATATAAATTACGTCGTTGACAATAATATTTAAAATGAGAGAACGAATGACTTTATATATTATTATAATATTATACGCTGAAAAACGGACGAAACACTTTTCGTGCGAAATTATAATAATAATATACGCGACTGCGCAGTTATAATATAGTTTACCGTAGCGTTTCAGACATAGTACTATTAGGTGTATTGGCTTTATTGACGGCTATAATATATTATGTAAATCACGCGTATATATTTAAATAGGCAAAATAACTCTGCACATAAATAATATACATATAATACGTACCTAGGTATGTATAAATAATTATGATGCTTCGATACACGATTTTACGAATATAGATATTGTATGCGTTTAAAACCGATTTTAACAGTTTTATTTTTTATATACAGCATGTTAATATAATATATTATGTTATTAGCATATTGTATTAGCCTCTAAGTCAAGTAGGTCCGCAATGACTAATGTATTTCTTCTGTTTAACCCAATCCGACACGAGATTTTAGCCGCTGCTCGATCGGGTCAGACACCGAGTCGGACGATCGTCGGTCGACTTTCATATTATTATTGTCCGTCGGTCTATAAATTATTGTTCGATTTCAACGTTTGTAGTGCATAATCATCGAGTTTGCATAGAGTTTACATATTAAGTAAACATCATTGACGTCATTGAATCTGAAACTTGTGCGTATGTGTCGCGTGTGCTATAATATTATATTGATTGAAAATTAATTTTGTTCTTATTTATTAGTCGAATATTTTAATAACATCGTTTCATTATACGACCTCCGAGGCACCAACAATATTCAAATTATCTGACCATGCTCATGTGTCATATTAGACGTTAACGTATAATATTATTATATTATAATCTGTAATAATTCATGTTGAATTTTCGCCGGGTCTTTAAAATAGATTATTATAAGTGGTTGTTCTTAATATATTCAGCGGAGTTATTCACTAAGTGATTTCTACTATAAATATACACTTTATACATTTTAATTGAGTTCATTTTTTTTTTTAATAATTGTGTATACAAAATAGTTTATAGTAATTATATTCTAATGTGTCAAAGAAAAAACGAATTCAGATTATGAACGTATGGCTTCGAAGAAGTTATAGTTTTGAAATCAGTCCAAGAATCCGTCGAAATTGTTTAAAAATGAAACATCGTAATTCATTCGTTGACATTTTAACGGCTTTCATTAAAAAAACATGTTTTTCTTAGGAATCCCAAAAATTATTCTGGTATGCTTGGATAGTTTTGAGAAATAATAATAAATGATATACATAGTTGGGAAAGTGAATTTATATCTTTTATACTCTTATAATATTGACTTTATATACTTCATAAATATGACTTTTACCTACAGTAAAAATGATCTGTGAACGGTGATAATTTGATAATATTTCATCGTAAAATATTTGACAGTCTAAACACTCAAAACCCACCAATTTTAACGACTTGTATTATTTTTTATTAAAATAGAACTAACTGCTTAAACATCTTTACCATACAAAATAATACAATGCAAATAACAATGTAATATTAATTTATGTAATTTGTAAAAGAACAAACAAATATGATCACATTTCTGAATAGTTTCAGTTATTTTTCGGTCATCTGATTTAAACTAACATACATTATAAATGTGTTCATAATATACTAATGCGATTAATAAAACTATTGTATATACATAGATACTAAATTTATTATATGGCCAAAAAATATATATCTAGTATATATATATATCTTGTCATAACAAGCTTAAATTATTACTCATTGTAAATACTCATTTCGTTACAATTAACGATTTTCAGTAGGTAACCACATCCTTATATAGGTAGCACAAAATAAAAATCGAGTGTTCTGTAGATATCAGTTGTAGAAGTGTAGAACTAAACTGTATTTCGTTAAAACTATATGTAATATCGACATATCGTCCTGAGACAATATTATAATATCTGCAGTATTAATACACACAATTTCACTTAAAAATAATCAGTTGCACTAAATTAATGTTTTATATATTTTGCTTTTAAGAATAAAATAAGCGGTTATGGTGTACTGTATTTTCAAATAAAAACGAATTCGGTACACAGAAAAGTACAAATAATTTCATTAAACTTTTATTATATAATATACAAGAATACATCCTCGAAAAATGTGCACATAAAAAATGTATAGAGCTCACGTAATATTATACTTTAGCAATGAATTGGAACTTTAAGACAGGGAAAAAACTATAAACGCAACTGCAGCATATCAAAGCCTCCCCAGTAAAATAATATGGTATTTAATTTTAAATTTTAGGTCTAATATAGTGAGACGCGCTAGTGCCTATACATATACCACGTGCTCCCGAAAATTCACTCCGAGGAAGATAGTAGGTAGTAAAAACGTGGTTATTGCATAATAATATTATATAGTCCTTTATTGCGTTTTCAACCAGTCGAATTTAATAATATACATAAAATATGTTAATAATACGATTTCGTCTCTTTTTTTTTTTTTTTAACTGACTTTGGCGCGTGATGCGTATTATAATGTATATATTATATCATCATATATACATCCGATCCGACGGTGACTTAAATTGTTATTGTTAAACGCACACTGCGGCGATCGCTCTCCGCCGAACAGTGTTTCGTTCGCAATAAATTGATCGAGGGACATTGTAGCAACAAAAAGCTAAATAACCGACGGGAATAATCCCAGGCTGGCACTTCCTATCCACCGCCGCCTCGCCGCACAGTCATCGATATATGAGTACACTTCAGTCGGCCATCTCAAAATTGGAAGGTTTATCATTCGTATTTATTCCGCTCGGCGAAGTCTAAATTTAGGGTCGTTATAAATGTTACCGTCAAATTTCTACGATTTTTCAATCGTCCCTATAAGCGCCGCCGCGTCGTTGTAAGAAATAGGTATAGTATAATATTATGTAGACATGAAAACGGCCATATTTACGGGACGACCTTTACCCACAACACGTCGCGATCATTACTACACCATCATGGGCTCACGATGTGGGTTTTTACTGGTACGCGTCCCTTGTTTCAATGTAAAACACTGATTATTTGTATATTTTTATCGCGTGAACCGGTAATAATACAAGAAATTGGATTTTTTTTTTTAAGTCTTGGCATTAAATTTCGATAGTCGTAAAAAAATTAAAAATAATATCATATATCTTCTTAAATGCTTAAAATAAGAAGAAAACTTTCAATTCTTTTGTTTCAATATAAAAGAATCATCCGGGAACACGAAATTAGTCTCAGAGATTTTTTTTTTTTAAATTGTACGCTATCCAGACGCACCCTGCGCATGTGTAAACTAAAATCTTGTTACTATACCAATCGTTTGTATCATTAATACAGTAGTACAACACTATATAGCAGTAGTTGTTTATACCTCCCTCATAAAATATCATAATACAAATCAATGGTTAACAGTTTGTATCATAAACTTTAATATATTATACATTTATACCTACTTAACCTAGAAACATGTACCTAACACAATAAGCTGTTGCTTGTCATATATAGGTGAATCTAGTCTCTGGATGTTACGAGTCGTAATAGACCTATTGATACATACTAGAAAAAACATCGAAAAAACAATCGAGTCATACCTCGACAAATCAAAATAATCAATATGTCGATTAAAAATCCCAGTTATACATTTATTATTTCGATACTTTCTATAATTGTAATTGTTATTAAATTTCCCAACGAACTTATAGGTTTATTGCGAGGGGTGTATTATCATCAACTGTTATGATAATTATTATTCCACGATTATAATCGTACACACTACCCTGTTAGCAATTCCGTACCGCTAAACTCGATGTTCAATTCGTCTACGCACACAATCTTTTTCAACATTTTATAGTTTTTTTTTTTGGCTGGAATGTGTACCTATTATTAAATAAAACAACAATAATTTAGGTTTCAGACAAATACAAATAGGTACAGCACGAGTTAGAAATGTGGCTTTTAAATATTATCATTGGACCGACATCAAAAGATCCGTATATAATCCCTCTTTAATGCAAAACATTTTTTTTTTTAAAGAGTTTTAGTATAGAATTCCTATAACTTAATCGTGAAAAAAATAGTTCTGTTTGTACAATAATACAACGTAAAATTGTTTTAAACGCCTCCGGTCCTTGTACTCTTATATTGAAAATCTTATTAACATCGTATTGCTTTTAAATCATTGTTAATAAGTTCAATGGTATCGAATTGAATTGTCTGTTGTTTTATTTATTATGAATACACGAGTTTAATATGTTTTTTTTTTCACAGACGCGTCCCCCGCTGTAGAATAAAACTCTATATTTAAATAAAAACTGTATAGTATTACTTTTATTAAAAGCCGATGAAGTACAGAGTACTACTTAAGTAATTTAATAAATTGTAAATAAAATAATGTCGTCGTTTGAAATCAGACTGTAAGCAATTACATGATTACGAAAAAAAATAAACAAATAAAAAGGACACTGATATTATACTTCTACTACTGTTATATTAATTATATTATATCAAATATATCATCTACATATTTTATTATTACAGTAAATTAAATTTTTGAAAGTACACGATTGCATGATTTATGCAATAAACATCTATATAGTTTTTATTAACGTACATCGACGTAGTTTCAAAGGATTTTTAAGAGCTCTTTCGTTAATGTTATTTACGATTAATTGTTTTGGCATTTTGTTCTCTCGCGTCGTACACGAATTAAGAAACAATTTTCATTAAATGTATAACGTGTGATATCCCAACAAAAGCACTCCTCCAAACTCTGTAACTCCGTGTAAAAAAACGGTAAGTATAAAAAATAAAACGACTCTATAAGTTGTGATATCATTTTATAACTAAGTCATTATACTTTAATAGATTTCACTTATGCTAAAATAGTCTGCTAAATAATTGAACTTAGCTCGCGGAGACGTAAGTCAAACATTTCAAAAAAAAAAACTATAGCATAATGAATACATAACAATATAGTATAGGTAGGCATTACCATTGAAATAGGTACTGTATTACTAATCAAGTGTTTTAAATTCGCCAATCTAAGTTCAATAAAACTATTTAGCAGATTATTTTAACATAAATGATGTCTATAACTCAAAGACTTAGCTACAAAATTCTATCACAACTTTTAGAGACGTTATTTTTTTTATACTTTTTCATTTTGGCGGAGTGTTTTTGTTGGTTATAATATCTACATTTAATATTATAGTAAATTAAATTTTTGAAGTTACAAGATTCCATGTTTTATGCAATAAACATCTAGTTTATTAAATCATTTATCGCCGTAATTTAAAACGATTTTTATGAACTCGTTCGTTAATAATATTATGGCGATTAATTGTTTTGGTATTTTGTTCTCGCGACGCATCATACACGAACTACGAAACAATTTTTATTAAAACGTTAAAAATAATTATTACCATTGGAGGAATGAGAGGTTATTACTCTGCATTGGACATTTTCCACGTTGATATTATCTCCGTAGATGGTACACATAATATGACACTCCTGTCGTTTCATTCACAAGGGCAAATCGACAAAATAATAAGCGTGTAATGTTTGAAACTGCGCGCTGCGGATTTTGATAGAAAACATTTTGATATGTAATTGCTTTGTAAGTTATAAACTTATAGGATATGTTTAGAAAAGTAAAATATTTTAGGGGTTACAGTGAAGTATGTGTAAAACACACAATATTATGGCCCCGGGCGGGCAAAATGATTGATCCCCGTCGCATTGACCTCATGTAAACTCGGCGTAAACATTAATTGACTTGTACAAATAAACATATAGATACGTAACATGCTGTTTGCTGCAGTTATATTATCCGTTGGTGGGTAATATGAATACACACTTACCTATAAGCTACGCAGCAAACAAGCAGTTTTACAAAATATTATCCATGAAGTTTTCGTTTTTTTTTAAGAATCCTTTAGTCCTTGAAGGTATATAGGTACTGACTTTAAGGTCGTGTGCAAGACGACGACGATTGATCTATAAATAACCACAGACTGATCATTGGTGTTTTCGCGAAGCTTATGATATATTATACTAGGTATGTAATAGTATATAGGTATCTACCAACGAGTTTTCTCTGTTGTAATAACACACATAACGATGTGTTTGATCCTGTGTTCCTGCAGTGTATCTCCATACGGATATATTATATTATATGCTATCTATTAAATGTTATGCTGGCTAATGAGATATTCGATACCTACTGAAGTATGTATATAAGTCTTTTATTTTTATTTATTCAGGAATTGATCACCAATAAATCAAACCATTAATGTGTTGCTCTAAACATACAGATTTTATTTATTATTATTACATAATATTTATATTATATACAGAATTACAGAACTTACCTAAACATACAGAAACGACAATAAATGTTTGTTTATTCAATAAAATGTCAATTCCTAAATTACTAACTAGGTATAGGACTATAAGTATTACACTATTTAACTATTTCATCTTTCATTAAAATATTACATTTTTCTTATTACAATTAATAATTTTATCATAACTTGCTTATCACTATTATTGTTATCACTAATCATCTTATAACCATACTAACCGTGCAGAGCGCGGTAAAATACAGTTTAAAGAATTATATTATATTCTTTACATCTCCCCCACCGGGACAGACAATTTTCTCCAAAATGTTCGTCTCGAAGTCAAGTTCAACTGGTTCTACTCCATCCAATGTAGAAGCCGGAATAAGTTTCGTTATATGGAAATTATTCGATTCCGATTTTTTGTGACCTGTGTTAATCTTATAGATTGAATTTGATATCCTCTCTATAATCTTGTACGGTCCAATCCTCAGTTCATCCAGTTTTTTCCTGTTTAGTTTGTTTCCATTTTCCACATACACCATATCTCCTACTTTGAATTCCATGTCTTTTCGATTTTTATCAAATAGCTTTTTGTTATAATCATGTGATTTTATTGTATTTTTATATGCTATTTTCCTATCACATATCCAATCCATTTCTGTTTTTTTTCCTTCTTTTAATTCATGTGGCAATATTGAAACATCTGTACCATATAATAAATATCTTGGCGCAAACCCCGTAACTGAATGATCAGTATCATTATACCTATTTACACATTCTTGTGCTATTGTTGTCCAAGCTAATTTATTTTTTTTTTCATTGATTTTACATCGAATTTTGTTTACGAGTGTTTGATTAAGTCTTTCATTTATGCCATTTGAGAAAGGGGTATTTATAGCAGTAAAAACCATCTGTATCGACTTTTCACTCAAAAAACGTTTAAATTCTTTTGAATTAATTCCCGGATATTGATCGGTGAGAAGGATACCTATTTCATCTGTGTCTACTATATTGTTGATTAATTTTACAAAATCATTCGCACTCTGTGTTTTAGATGTTAAAATGAATGCATACCTTGTGAAATGATCCACTAGTAGATGTAAATATTTTTTTTCGGAGTTCGAACCTCCAAACCCACCAATCGTGTCTATTGAGACTATCTCAAAAGGCTTTCTGGCTGGACCTAGATGAGACATTAAACCAAATTTGTCATTTCCTCTTGATTTGTTTTTTATACATATCCCACAGTTTTTACAAAATTGTATTATGTTTTTTGTCAAGTTTTTCGCTGTGTATACTGTACCAATCTTCTTTTGCATTTGTTTAATACCAATATGGCATAAGTTTTCATGTATGTTCTTTATGAGTTTAATGCTGAACTCCTCTGATAACATTATTTTTTTTATTTTTTTACACTTCTTAAAATATACATTATTTTTTTTTATCAGCTTGTTTTTTTTTTTTCTTACCTCCTCATTATTTTTTTGATCTGTTAGAATATCATCCAGTTTTATTAGATTTACTATTTTCAATTGTTCTTCTTTATTCTCATTTGTCTCCAATACTGGGTTTCTGCTTAGGCAATCTGCCTCCAAATTGTCTTTCCCTGGAGCATATTTAATTTGAAAGTCATATTGTGACAGATAGTAGGTGAAATCTCCTAGCTCCTCATCAGTCCTAGATTTAATGTTCATGTTCTCTAACGGTTTGTGATCGGAATATACTGTAAATGATTTACCTATGAGCCAGTATTGCCAGTATCTTACTGCTTCTTTGATAGCTAAACATTCCAAATATATTGCTTTCTTTTTTTTTTGGGCTGCATTCAGTTTTTTTGAGAAGTATGCCACCGGTTTTTCTTTCCCATTAAGCTGTGTTTGTTTGAGAATGGCTCCTACACCTTCCAAAGATGCATCTGTATAAATCTTGATTGGTAAATCTTTATCAAAAATTTCTAAAACTGGTTGTGAGCACAGTAGTTTTTTTATATTTTCAAAAGCTTTTTGACACTCTATCGACCAGACAAATCTTTGGTTTTTCCTTAGTAAATTATGCAATGGATCTAGGATAATTGCACTATTTGGTATGTATTCATGATAAAAATTTATTTTTCCCAGAAGTTGCCTTATATTTTTTTGAGTTTTTGGGACAGGAAAATTATTTATTGAAACTAGATTATCTTTTACAGGCCTGATAGAGTTATTCTGTATAATATGACCAAGATATTTCACCGAGTCTGTTGCAAATGTACATTTTGTAAATTTTAATCTGAAACCTTCAGTTTGTATTGCTTTTAATAGCTGTGTTAAGTGACTAATGTGGTCATAAAAATTCTTAGAAAATATAAGAATATCATCAATATAGTTAACAGCAAATTCTGTAAGTTTATATTTCCTCAGTATTGTACTTAAGACTCTCTGAAAAATTGCAGGTGATGTTTTTAAACCAAACGGCAGACAAGTCCATTGAAAATGTCCTTCCTGTGTCACAAACGCAGTCTTTTTTCTGTCCTCCATTCTGAGTGGAATAGACCAAAATGCAGAATTTATATCTAATGTGGAAAAGTAATTGCAGTTCCTTGTCTTTATCACTAAGTCATCAATCAGTGGGAATGGTTGTGCTTGAGGTACTACTATTTTGTTCAAGTCTCTGAAGTCTATGCATAGTCTGGATCTTCTCTTATCCTCTTTCTTAAATGCTAATGTTACTGGTGCAGCAAATGGACTGTAAGATACTTCAATAAGTTTTTTTTCAAGTAATTTTGATATTTGTTCTTCTATCTCATTTTTATCCTCTACGGAGCATCTATAAGGTCTTTTACTGCAGTATTTGTCGACTGATAAATCAATACGTGCCTCGTATTCCCTCACTGTACCAATGTCGTATTTATCATTTGCAAAAATTGACTTGTTTTTTTCAATTAGTTTATTTATTTCATGTTTTTGATTGTTAGTTAAATAATCTATCTTAGTTTGGAAGTTATTTTCCTTTATATCTGTAATTTTAGTTTTTTTTTTTTTTTCAATTTTATTTTTTTGATTTAAATTGTTGTTTTGAGTTATTTTTAAATGTTCGTTCTGAATAAGTTTGAATTTTTTTATAATATCTAATCCTATCAAAAAGTCATATTTGAAGTTTTCTTCTTCTATGATGTAAACATCTACTTTTTCTTCAATTTCATAAATTTTAATTTTTATATTTGTCAAACCATTTGTTTTTTTAACACCATTAATTGTTCTTAAGTTTGCATTTTTTATATTATTCATTTTCTTGTATTCTATTTTTAATAATTTAGAATTTATTAATGAAACATTAGACCCAGAGTCGTATATCCCAAATATTTCTAATTTATTATCTAATAGCAGTTTGACTTTAATTAATGGTGTAACAATTAGTTTTTTTGGTCTGTGTCATTTAATTCAGCTTCAACTACTGAATTATTCACATGCTTGATGTAATTTTTTTTCTCTCTATCATTTTCTCTTGTGTTGAACCAACATACTGATTCAGGGTGGTAACGAGTTCCTTTATTAAGTTTTTCACAATGTTTACATGGTTTTTTTTCTTCATTTTTTTCTTTATAGTTCATGCTTAGAATTTTTTTTTTCTCAAAAAAACTTTTTTTTTTTATTACCATGTGTTCAAAGTTGCTGATTTCACTAAACAAATCTACAGTGTCTTTCAATACCTCTCTATCAATCCTATTAAGTATAAACTCTGGTAAACCAGCTGCAATAAGATCTATCAAAGTACCTGAATCAATTGTTGTTCTCATATCCAACAAAAGCTTTTCTTTTTTTATTGCATAGTCCAGTAACGAACCATCTCTGTATTTGTATAATAATGCATAAGTTACTGGGTTCCAACCTTTACTTGAAAATGTTTCACAAAATTTGGTTTTCCAAATTTTCCATTCTGAGTCTCCCGTTAATTTTATTATCATAGAGCTATACCAATCTGTACAAGATTTATCCATAAATAATCTGAGAATTTCAATTTTTTTGTAATCCTCATTAACATCAAAGCGAATGCATTCTTTTTCAAAATTATTTATCCAATGCTTCGCATTTAAATTTTTGCTTGTAAATTTTTCAAGCACAAATTTTTCTGAAATGTTCTTTAAATTTTGATCTTTAGGTATCTGTGCGTTTCCAACTAATGTCTCTAATAGTTTTAAGGTATTTAAATTTAAAGCATTTAAATTATCTTTTTCTTCTTGAATCACAGTGTTAGCATGTTTACTTGTTATTTCTTCTAAGCACTGGCCTGCGAATAACATGTTGTCATAATCATCCATGTAAACTTTTTTTAATTCCTCAGTCAGTGGTATCCAAACTTTTCTGAATTGGTGTCTTTTTTTTAATGAGCTTTTCACCATATTATAAATAGTAGTTGTACTCACCTCTTTATGGAAACTTATTTGTTGTAATTCTTCAGGTATAGCATATGTTTCTTTAGCTTCAGTGGTAATCGAGGTGACGGTCATCAAATTTGATTTTCCATCGCTTGATGGTTTAACCATAAACTCAAATTGTAGCTTATTCATGTTGCTTAAACGAAATTGTCGTTTTATAAGTCTTTTATTTTTATTTATTCAGGAATTGATCACCAATAAATCAAACCATTAATGTTTTGCTCTAAACATACAGATTTTATTTATTATTATTACATAATATTTATATTATATACAGAATTACAGAACTTACCTAAACATACAGAAACGACAATAAATGTTTGTTTATTCAATAAAATGTCAATTCCTAAATTACTAACTAGGTATAGGACTATAAGTATTACACTATTTAACTATTTCATCTTTCATTAAAATATTACATTTTTCTTATTACAATTAATAATTTTATCATAACTTGCTTATCACTATTATTGTTATCACTAATCATCTTATAACCATACTAACCGTGCAGAGCGCGGTAAAATACAGTTTAAAGAATTATATTATATTCTTTACATGTATATCGTTGATCAAAAAATAAGTGTTTGTACAAGTCAACCGAGAAGACAAATTACACATAAGGTATACAACTATTATATACCTATACACGATATTATAGGGAGAAATCTCGTTATTATACATTATTACTGTATAATGAGTCCGCATAAATAAAACGTAAATAATATATTTTTGTAAAAGTAATAATCTGGTTCAAAAATGTACAGGCCTGTTATAGTGTTATATACTATAATGTGGTATAAAATAAATGATAATAAGAGAAATATGAATTGCAGGCATATTACAGTAATCACCTGCGGTAAAATACTTAAGACGAGTAGGTGCCTACAATGTAGGGGTCCTATACCCACATGGGTACGGCTATATACTCGACACCAGATTTCAGTATTTTAGAATATAGATATTAGAAGATACTCGATACTAACATGTTTAACTGTATATAAATATATTAAATAGATACTCGATACCTATACTCGATATTTGATACATTAGATTTTTTTTTTTTGATAAATAAATGTCAATAACAGTATTTTCGGTAATAAGATATAATATTGTTATATATATATATATATTTTTTTTTTTTTTTTTTTTTTATTGAGCTTGAGCTCGGCAACTTAGGCCATTAGTTATTTTTTTTGTTTTGTTTGTAGGTTTTTGTTGGTAGGGGAGGAACACGTGTGTGTTTTTTTTGGCAGAATTTTTGATTTGGGCACCCGTAGGTATCTGCTATGCCCGGGGGTGGGGGATGGCGGCACTTGTTTTCCGGACACCATGACTTGCCCGAAGAAAAATTCCGCCCATGGCCAAGATATCGAACAGGCGTCGGTATGCGTTGCCACTCCGTCCCCTCTTATATATTATTGAATATTATTTTTGATATATATTATATACATTATACACCGTGGTTAATAGAACTACAGTGTGAATAGTATTTTTTTTTCAGATATATTGAAATTATTTATTTTTTATTTTTTATTAATGAGATTTAAACTTTAAATTATAATATCTCGAAAATTATGTACATTAATCTGAAATAGATATAAGTTGGCAAAGCTCACACTCTTAAATTCGGAGGCCTGATTGCAGAATAAAATTTAGCGTGTTTTGATTATATTAACATTGTCGGTTGAAAGCGCGTCAATGAGGGAAAAATTAATACCAGAGGTGGAAAAGAGATTCTTTAGCTGAGATCTTTGGATAGAGAGAGATGGACAGTTTGTGAGTAGGTGTTGGAAGTCACAGTATTCTCCACCACAGTGTGGTAGGGGACAATACGTGCTACTGTTGAGTTCCAATTTAAACGAGTGGTGTGGTAGTAGGCTATGACCCTAGCGTAATCTGGTGAATTTCGTTATGGCAGCACGGCTTATCTTTAGGGATTTAAAATAATTATTAATTGAAAAACAATATTTAATTTAATACAATGATATAATTTGATAAACAAAAAAAAAAAAAAAAAAATGAAAAATGGGTATTTTAACTACAATTAAAAAATGTATAAAATAATATAGACTCATGTGACAGCAGTGTGGTCTTCTAACTTACAGTAAACGCTGAATAATTCAAAAATTTGTAAAATGTTAAATGTTCGTAAATTTTTCACCATAATTTTTGTTGGCGAAGAATCCACTCAAAGGTATATTCGATTGCACTTTGAACTGTAAGTTATAAAGTTAAAACTTTTTGAAATAACGAGTGTCCGTTGTTAGATTAATCACCCTGTATGGTGTACGGAGTGTTTACTATTATTTCAAAAGCAAGAGCGAGACACACAATAAGTAACGTAGTTCCGTCGTAGGCATGACGTGTCAAATATTAATGAAAGAGGACTTTTTAGGACTATAACCGCTCGCATATTATATACATCGGCTCTATCGTCAAGGTCGGTTCTTATTCATTTCGAGCAGAAAAAGCCGAAATAAGTACACGGCAGTAAGTTATTATTATAGTTATCACATCATACTAACAATATTACCTACCTATTACAATATAGGTAGGTTCTGCAAACACGCGAGGGCTCCTTTGTCGGCCCCGAAAAGGACATCGCAATCGTCACGATGGAGACGCACATGTACGAAAAAACAAGACGCTCGTTATCCTTTAGAGTTCCTACATATATTATTATACAGTTTCTTCCCGTCTATTTACGTTTCATTTTATTCGGTTTCTCATTTCGTTCCTTGTACGGCATCTATATAGGTGCGCAACATAATATAATGGTACCTACGTAAAATTGTCTTGCCCGCACGACGACCCGAACGAGTGACGAAGCGGCCGTCGTTTTTGCCGACACTTGGATATTATAATAAATAGGTACAGTGTACCAGGTACACGTTACGAAGCAAAAGAATTTAGCACCTCCGATCGGTCATCAATTGGAACGCTGGTATATTATTACAATGCTGCACGACAGGTGACAATATTCAACTCTTGAGCTGACGAATTCCCCTCACTTTTCAGATATTATATTATGTTTTAATACCTATATATATTATATAATAATATTATTACTGTCCTATGGTATAAAAAAATATCTATTTTCTTTATGCATATTTGCAGACGACAGATATTATAGTTATATGAGACAACGGAAAAACAGCTTACCTGACGATTTGAGAAGCCAACGTATACTGATTTTATTTATTAAAAATCATAACACCATAAACATATTTTATTAAATATTCTTGGCCTTGAAAATATGTATCTGGACCATCTTCTCGATAACCACGAAATGAAATATTGTTCCAGTTTTTCTGCACCCTATAAAAATTAATAATGGTAAAAATAAATATTAAAAATAATATTGGTATTATAATCTATACGTAAGCAATAGCCCTATATTTTTGCTACTGTTTGTAATTTATTATCGGTTCTATATTAGGTATGTTTATAAATTATGAGTTATAACAAGTTGATTGAAAATCGTTTGCAAATTGAGAAGAATTTGTCTGATAGTCAGTGTTACTGTGCAATGTGCGAATATATAGCAATTAACAAACCATAATTTCTTAATAGTTTAATGAACGAATAATTAATATTATATAGTGTCATCGCTAACTTTTCAAGGTGCCATATTTTATGAAGGCCTTCCGGCTTCCACAATTAAAATAAAAAACCATACATAATACGTTTTATTGAATACACTACAGCTGATATTTGAATATTCTGGAAAAGGTATAAGTGTTCAAAACTATTCAATCGCTGGTACGATTTTTTTCTTTTCCTTGTTTTATATGATTTAAATGAGTAATAAATAAAATTGACAGACGGTATGGGTAATTTAATATTTTCTTTTTAGTATAAGTTCATAAACAATGAAACTATTAAAGTCATACAACCAAGAACGAAATGAGTATTTATAATTTTGTTACCTCCATAATCGTTTTACAAACGTAAATTAATTTCGATAATAGTAAGAGTAAACCTATGTGATGAGCGTAATTTAATAGTTTAGTATCCATTACAGTATGCCTAAAAAAATATTTCACCAGGGTTGGTGGATCCACCCCAGATATCCATCTGTGATGCCCACACCTAGGTCCTGTCGTGGCTTAAGCATGTGTATACCCACAACGCACACCTAACATATATTTATATATAATTTAATTCGTACGTGCTTAGAGGAAACACTACGACCAACGTACACGCGAGTCACCGTATGATAATAATATCCTGCATTACACGCGATGACAGCGTGTATATAACCCAGATATCTCTAGCCGGATGACTGTCGTTGGCGCATTTTCCCGTCGCAGTCGGAATGAATTACGCCCGTGGAGAGGGGGTGAGTGAGAGAGAGAGAGAGAGAGGGAGGAGAGAGATGGGATAGAGAGAGAGGGAGAGAGAGGGTATAAAACGACGTAGACGAAGAGAAGTATATGAGTGATATAATAGAATAATATACTAGTGGGACAAAGAGAGAATGAGAAGGACAGTGTGTGTGTGTGTGTGAGACGGACGGATAAGGAGCTCGAGCGTAGACGAAATAAAAGCGAGTCGAGTATAATATTATATAGGTAATGAACAAGATAGAGAGAGAGAAAAGATAAACATTTTATACAGTCGTTTTTTTTTCTCTCTGCGTGTGTGGGTGATACGCGTATATAATAATTCCACGCAATAAATCAAGATACTATATGGGTAGGTTGGGCGGAAAGAAAAAAAAAACTAACATAAAACGTGTGTTTTTCGGGACTCGGGGCAACGATATTGGGTGTCCCTGAGATCGTCGGTCGGTCGGTCGGTTGGTTGGTTGTTTATTTTTATTATTATTTTTTCTTTTTTAACTTTTCGGCTAGGACATAGAAAAAACGATTGACATTACTTTTCTAGCGAGTAGAGGGACGTGCACGCGCAGTCGTCAACTATTTTGACGTGTAATAAAAAAAAAAAAACTGCTCTCCACTGTGGTCGTATTACAATATAACGAAAACTCGTTTACTACTACACATACGTCCGAGTAAAAAGTGTACAAAATGTACTTATTTATTGAACATTAATTATTGCACAATTTATACACATTGTCAATATAATATGCATATACCTAACCGTCTTGAGTCAATATTTAGTGTAAGTATACGTAAAATAAATATTTTGAAATAATTTTTCATTTCTGTTTCACTAAAATAATACATGATTTCAAACATCAAAGAAACAAAAAAAATAAATGGTATGCCATTAAATATTACTCATCAGCATAGTGATTATTTCCGTTACATTTATGCCCAAACTTTGGATTTTTTTCATAAATCAAAAATAATTCTCTAAAGAAACAAATACAGTAATGATCTAAGATTTTAATAAATTAAAAAAATTAAGATTTTAATACTAAATTCCACGAGTCAAATTTATGTAATTAGTGTTCATTATGTTTGCCATCTCTGATTGAAGATAAATTGAATTAACTTAAATAATTTTGTTTTAAAGTAAAACTATCTTCTAAGTTTTGCTCAAAATAATAAACATTTTCCTTGTGTAATTTATAATTTTCAAACTAATATCGAAGTAGTTTGCTTTTTAAAATGTAGAACGGTTTCTTCTTTTTTTTTTCTTTAGTCTTATAGCTATATGAGCTTTATACTAATAAATGAAATGTATTAAATATTAAGGGAATTAGGTTACGAAAATACGACGACGGAAAAATGTAAAAAAAAAAAATACTGTAAGAGAATAAATTGCTCGGTGCTGGGCACTTGTCTCGCTTCGCTCACCTCGACATAAGCAAGTGTTGCATTATGCTGTGTTAAAATACCCTTTTAAAATTGTAAGTGCTCATATAAAAATAATTTACGTTTAAAAATTTCTAAAATGTATCGAATATTTACATATTACATTATTATATACTATAGCTGTATGAAACTTCTTCGCCCTGGATAAAATGAACCGACATACAACACGGCCTTTATATCGGCGCGCTTTCTCGTTTTTGTGTATCTACCTCAGCTCACGGGAAAATCTGCAAATCTCCATCTAAATTTGAGGTAATTAATTAATCAACTAATTCGACCGATAAGGGCAATCCGCATGTGGCGGATTGGATATAGTCTTAGTATGTTTTTGAACTACTCTCTATAAACTAACACCCTTAAAATAGACTGATTAGAGAGTAGTCTTAACAAACCTTTTTAAAAAACTGCAACATTTAAGGCGGGTATAGTGGGCCTCACACATTTCTATAATAATATATTTAATAATCATACAATAGCGATTAGTGAGTAGAAATATTTTAGTTTTATATTTTTAGTTTAATTTTTTTCTCATACCTATTATATTATACTTAATTTCTGGTTTTTAAAACTTCAGTAAAATATACTGTGGGCAGCGGGTTAGTCATCCCTAGCTGCATCTAAACTTCCCTAATATATCTATGAACAATCTCTGAAACTTTCATCGACATCGGTCGAATATAGTTTTGAGTATATAAACGCTTCAAACATAAGGTCATTGCTTTTTGTTGTGCATTAGATATTATGGAATGACGAACAATAAATTAAATAGTAAGTATTTTCTTTTATTCAAAAAAAAAATCCCATAGCCTGGTGGTTATAGTCGATACCATTTTTTTTAAACATTTTTTTTTTTTTTTTCATAATCCTTCGCAACCCTATACCTACTGGTATAAATAAAAAAATCATTCAAAACGAAATACATGTGTGACCCTGTATGGGTTGAAAAAAGAAACTGAAAACCTAGTCTAATCTTTTGATATCACTTGTATTGAAATCGGTCCAGTCGTAGTTTCTGAGATTAGCGAGTATATCTATCTATACCTACTAACAAACGTAAATCGTATTCATAAAATATAAGAGAAGCGTGGAAAAAGAATGAGGAGAAGAATATAAAATAATATATCTGCAGGTATGTGTGTTATATACTGTCTTGTACAATAGGCTGATGAATCCATTACTATACACGTACAGTAGGGTGGATCGAAAAAATGAAACTTAAATATAAAGTTTCTAATAGTTAGGGAAATATGTGTTTTGGTCCCTATATGCTATATAAAAATTTTTAAAAATCTAGGATTAGATTAAGAAGTGCCGCAAGGCATTTTAAATATAGTACAATTATTATGCTTGGTTTATTGGGTTATTCTATTTATGAGTTGTCCTATCTTATCTTAATGTGACATTTTTCACCATTAGTTCAATTGACAAACTCGATTTCACATTCAGTATCGCTGTATATTCGTACGGAGTCGTATAAAGTTTATTGTGTTTGAGTTTGTTCTTTAAATATTTGTGAAAATGGCTTGTGTTTTGACCAGAAATAAATTAAAATGTTTAATTTTTGGAGATGCTAAAGAACTTAGTAACAATGTACTTCCAACTTTTGAAGATGTCATGCAATATTATTTGTTTGTGAAACATAAACTAAAACCCGAAATTACCTCTAAAGAACCTAGTGTAAGCTCTATAGCAGAAATTATAGCAGTTGATTTAGAAAAGGTATGGCTAAAAGCATTAATTCCAGTAGTATCTCATACACGTGTGTTGCAAATGATAAAAACGTACCATGATCAATATCGGAATATACTGAAGTCGGCTAAGAGTAGAATAAATATTGAAACTTTTAAAAAAAAATTATAAAACTTCCAAAGTGAAGCAAAAAACAGTCTTTTTGATATTGCGGCATGTAAATGTGTTGTGTTAAGTTTATGTAATTGTGAAAAATCTCGAAAAGTTCCAACTATTGAGCAGGTATTTATTATAGATCAAAGAACAACAAGAAAAATGGTTATGACTTCAATTGCATTTCAACTACTAAAAAAAAATAATAAGATTAGAGACCGATGCAAAGCGATGTACGTCGTACAGCATTAAACTACCTACACACTATAAGGATCTTTGATAAACAACTTTATCGAATTAAACTATAAAAGTAATTATTTAACCGTCGATTTCAAGCAAATCGGTTTAGTATAAATTATGGACGAGATGATTATTATTTAATAGTTACCTACACGGCTACACAAGACAATTAGCGGTGACTTTTCGGTGCCACGTTGCAAAACTTTTACGGTTATAATAACATGCGTGGATCTCATGGCGCTTTAATACCGGGCACTATACCGCGGTCTACCGCACATACCATAATCTTATAAGTACTTGAACGCGTTCATAAATTTTCACGAGTACGACGTTGCACGTGGCCTGTATGATATTATTATATTTAGTCGTGACGAGTATAAACATATTATGTTCTAAGGTCTCAGTGAAAATTATGGTTCTACAGTTGGCGTGATGGTGGCGAGTCACCCGATGCTGCATCACACGCATTACCTATACATAGGTTATCATATATATTGTGTCCACTACACTAAACATATATTATATAACAATATGGGCTATTGTGAATTATAATAGGTGTTACATTGTAGGTATACATATAGCTGCACGTCGTTTACAGTCATTTTACGTTATTATCATCTATATGCGTGCTATGCGTGAGCGATCGTCTTATAAAATATACCCAATACAATATGTATATTGACTATAATATAATAGTATGTACCTAACCGTACAGGTATTAACTGTTAAGCGTGTTATAAAATATTATGTATAATATTATATTCCAACACGGTATATGGAAATGAATTAATTAAACACATAAGACAAAGTTTTTTTTCTTAAAAAAAAAAAAAAATAAGAAACCCCCGACGGGTTTTCGTGTTCAAGGCGTGTAATAATCGAGTTAATATCGCACCGTTGGGCTTGTAAAATAGACCAATCCTACCGTGAGAAAAACGAGATAAAGTGTTTCAGTCGTGAAAAAACTCGAGGTTCCCGTTTCAAACTCGCATATATTCTATATAGGTAGGTATATATACAGTATATAATATTATTATACGAATAAGACGTTTTCGAGCAGCAAGTTGGACGCTAATACTCGGGCTGCACAGATACGGTTCGCGTGTAATTTCCAGCGAAATAAAGAAAGCAAAAAAAATTACCAAACGAAAGTTCACCCCCCGACCACTCCAACACTCTAAAGTATATATTATTATTATTATATCCGTTGGACCAGATTGGATTTCATACACGCTCGTCCGTATTGTGCTCTCCTCGAGCTTATAAGTTATAAATTCTGACCACGGCCGGACGTGCTCTAATACATATATAATAATACTCTATAAGTATATAATATATATATATTATTAAACTACTGAGGTGTGCGTGTGTGTGTGTGTGTGTGTGTGTGTGTGTGCCACATGCAATGTCTCGGGCTGTAAATGTCGATGGAGTTCATTGCGAAATTTCACAAATGCAATCGAAAACCTATTTTGTTTTATTTTTTTTCCCTCAAATCTCGGAGTTTTAACGGGATGGGTAATATACTTCCGGAAGCTATATATACCTCGCACTCGGTCTTATCGAGAAATTGATTTCGTTCCGGCGAGATTTATGGCACTCGCTTAGATGGTTAGCCTAGTTTTTTTATTTTTCGATTTCCCGAAAATTACAGCCAGCACTCCAGCCATGTTTTAGGAAATCGAAAAATTCGTGCGGCCTACTTTATTATTAACTTTATATTATTATCAATGTACCCCACGTAGTCATTTAAAGGAGAGGTTTGTATAACGTGACGAGTATGACGTATCCGGGGTATCCCGCATGGAAACAAATTTTGCGATACAATTTAAATCAAAGTATACAACCTGGAACCACCCTCCCCCACGATATTTCCACCCAAAACGATGTAACGTGATTCCGAAAATTAACAACAGGTATATTATGTTATAGTTTTTAATTATTTGTGTGCCCTGGTGTGACTGTCAACAGCTGCTGTTTGTTCGTGATAAGTATCAAACCGTTCAAGTTCGGTGGACACCATGTATTAAGTGCATGAGTGATGTATATACAGGGTGATTTTATAGGTTGATTTTCGCCCTATTTTTATGCTTAAATTATATTAAAATTTCAAATCCTGATTTTTAGAATTTTTGAATACACCTGCGAAGACCATATTTTCAAATACTTGACATTTGAGATTTGTTTAACCACTTAAGGATGATCCTGTGAAAATTTGAACTTGTTTTTTTCAAATAGGAACTACCCCACTTTTCACTTCAGCAGATATTTTTTTGTTGAGAATATTGATATATCTAAATTAAAATTCGAAAGAGTAGTTTTTGAGTTACATAAATTTGTGTACTTAGGATAATTATATTATGTTTATGGTACCTAATGGGTTAAGTATATATGGAAGGCTTAGATGATTTGAAAATGTTAATAATTACTATTGAACTATTTGAATAAAAATTTTTAAAAATTATCTAACAATTTAATGAACACTACATAATATTATCTAATGTTCCATAAAATAGTTAATATTTTCATAAAACCATGTTTAAGAATTATTATTCTTAATACAACCATTTTAATAACTCAGAAACTATACTTATTAGGATTTTGATTTAGATGCATAAAATCACCAGCTAAATAATTTGCAATAAAAAGTGGGTTCTCATTTTAAAAATAGAAGTTCGTACCATCATAGGACATTCCTTTAGTAGTACAAAAAATATCATGAATTTTAAAATATGGTCTTTGCTATACTTACTCAAAAATTCTAAAAATCATGATTTGAATGAATATTAAACGGAAAAATGAGGGTGAGATGTTTAAAAATTCACTTAGCATAATACCTTCAAGATTTGTACATACATATATACATAATATGTAGGTAGAGAGAGAGAAAGAGAGTGAGAGAGAGAAAAAGAGAGACAGAGGGGAAAAGTTGAACGACCGAACCGACTTCGGAGAGATGGAGAAGACCCGATGGAAAATTGGCGTTTCCCGCGCTCGATAGATGTTTTACAATTTATAATATACATTATAATAATATATATACGACAGTCGGTCGACCGGAAGTCGCGTATCCTCGTCGGCGGGGGAGGCGTTCGTTGATTAAACGTGATTAAAACTCGAGCCCCGTCAGAGCCCTTTTACGCACATTGATCGATGCCGTTTTTCAACACGATCTCCCGTCGCGGCCAATCTCTGGGCGCCTTCAGCGACACGCAATACAATATACATATAAAGCACTACAACTGCAATAATGATATTATATACGACTATTATATTGCGCGTAATAATAACGTTTTAATTGAAAATGTACGCCGGCGTTTTAGGGGTGGACCCCAATTAAGAGTTCTGATTTTAAAAATTACGAGTTCGCGAGCGCTCCTAGAGTTAATTACGATTTTTTTTTTTTTTTTTACCCACACAGACTATTTTATAAAAGACCCGTTTTTATTGCATGCGCTCGTGACCATGAATCATAACACACACGTCACACACACACATTTATTATATAGGTATACGTTTTTCTGATTCAATTAACAATATATCAATCGATATGTATCTACCTATAATATACACGTGTACAACACATACCTACTCGTATTGTTTGTCTAACTGCAATTTGCACTCTTAATTGTTATCATATTATATTATTATATGGTGTATTGCTGTGTGGAACCGAACAACTATCGCTTATAAGTAGTAGTTGAAATATACGCGTCTGGCTGTCGTTATTTCGATACTGTCGGTGATAACGATTATACGATTCGAATGTTGCACGAGTGTCTATATAATATACGATGCGGTGCGTGCGGGACAAGATTTGGTCGGATAAATTACAACTATTAAATGAAAAAAAAAAAAAATTAATAAATAAAAAAATTCAATTACAAACCCTATCTGTGTAATGGACTTTTAATTAAACGAATTTTTTTTTCGCAACCGAATCGCCACGATATCCCCTCCACCACTGCACCGCCGCACATTATAGGTCGATATGACAAAAACGCGTACGGGAAAACGTTTACGACGTGATTTATTACTGTGCAGTGTCCCATAATATTGCTGCATACACATACATTTATGCGTGTATATATGACGTGTATTATTTAATAATGTACGTATTATATTGTGTATATACGTATATAATTGTATCAAACGAATCGGATCGGATGAGTGAAAATCAAAAAAAAAATTATAGAACCTCCGCTCAGTGGACATCCCGATTATTATATATATTATTATTTCATACGTGAATCGCACGGAATTGCGGTTTGCCCCGAATTGTTGGCATGTCTCCAACGTCCGGTCTGGGGATAAAACTAATATTATATACAACTACCGCAGCGGCGACGGTAACGGTGACTAATGTTTGATATATTATAAAAAAAAGAACAATAATAAATATATATTAGTTATAAACACTCGAACCACCCTTCCCTTACCTCGTCGCTCACATTTTAACTATATTACTATATACTATATTATACTATATATACGAAATAATTAATTACAATAGACGTGCCTAAAAGTGTTATATTTGGCAGTTTTATTTTTTTACAATTAAAACCTGCAGCTGTGTAGGTATACATTCCATTGTCTGCAACTGCTTCGAACAATCGCTCCCTCGACAAAAAAAAAAAAAAATGGTCATTAAATCATTCGGTCTAAGGAGCTTATTATACATATAATATATACCTTAAAAGAAGAACGAAAACGTAGGTACGCTTCTAAATTGTGCACACCCCATCAGAGACGCTTGCGCCTTATACATATGCCTCTACTCCACTTGATTACACCGTTCTGCGCATCACCATTTTCCTTAAATTTTCGACGATGTGCCTTAATTTTAAAGATTTTAAAACGAGTCTTCGTCTTTAATTCCATCGTATAGTATAATAAAAGGAGGAAAAAAAATATCCCGTCAATTTTCTCGTTACCGATTACGTTTCTTTTTCGTGTTTTATTTCTACTCTTAATTTTTATTACGTGTGTCTCTCAGGTCCGTGACTGACTTGAATAAGGTATTATATAGTCATATAGTGAATAGTGTGCGTCAAAGAGAAAAGCGCTCGGAGCTTTTGTCGAGGTTATGATCTTATCGCAAAACTTTAAAAACAACGACTTGCTTATCGAACTACATAACAACGGCGATTCGAAATTCGAATCGTAGGCAAACTACTATATAGGTACATAAAATATATGTTATTTAACATTATATACATAATATTATAATATATATATATATATTATATACATAGAAAGTCGTACTCTAAAACTTCGCGTTTTCCAAACTTAACATAACTACAACTACACTCAATCGTTGCCAGTAATCCGAAACGCTAACACATCCATTCGGAGAACCTCATGTGCAGTTTAACGATACACTTACGGTCAAAATGAGAATCCCATGTCCATTAGATATTAGCTCGTGCTGTATAGTATTGTATAATATATTAAACTGTCCATTTGTCAGACCATCGTATATACAAAATAATAATTATGCGTGACGTTTAAAGCTAACCCTCTGAAATAATAATATATTGTTGTCTGTACTATACTCTGTATGTACTATGTACCTACTAAATCTACCCGTTTAAAGTTATTTCGATACCACAAATATCAGATAGATAAAAATAAATTTCAACGTTTTGTACTTTTTATTTTGCTATTCAAAAATGAATACATTTTACTTATTTTGTTTAATCGACATAATATCATAATAAAATAAGAACTAATAAGTTTCATAAGAATTTGTATGAAACGAAATAATAATATTACAATCGTGTTATGGTATGAATCAGATTTCAAATGAAATAGTAAACTTTTCACTAAAAAATATACCGGGAAATGGGATTTAAATCGACATAAATTCTATAGTTCGTTAGCATAAAGTTAATTTTAGCGATAATTAGAGAGATGTTGACTGCGTTGAAAATACTAAAACTGAACACATGAAACGAAAAGCCCTGTGAATAATAAATAAGGCTTATTTAATAAGTCATATTGTACATGATGAGTACAAAATGTAACTCCGAATAATAAAGAATTAAGGCATAATATAACCGACAGCTTAAGAGCACATCAAATTTTCTAAGTACGTGGTTATGGACTTATGGTGTGTAAAGTCATAATATAACTACTGCAATTAGTGAATAACACGCTTGCGGTATATCTATTTAACGAACTGCAATATTTCATCTGAATTTCTAAGGGGTCCACCCTTATATTATACAAGTGTGTCAAGGGCACTCAGTTGCAAGAGGGCAACATCTCACCCACCCTAGACAAATGATACTAATTTTTTTGACTGTAAATAATGAACTATTTTTATTGATGATAATATACTTTAAGATGTACTGCATAGGTACATCGTTTATCTATGTCGTATATCTAATTTCTGTTATTTAATAAAAACAAATTCGTTGGTGGCGTTGGTGCTTAGTTTTTTATGATATTGTCACCCCCCCTAGGTTCTGATCGATGGGCTCCCTTGAAGTGTGAGTAGAATTTATGAGCAGATTATAATATATACGTATAGGTAAGTACACTAGTCCAGAATCATTTAAATTCACATTTCCTATAAAAAATAACACATTATACTGTACAATATATTATAATAATACACGATGGTATATATTACACATACGTCCACCGTCTCTGTAGACGGCCGGAAATGGTGACCCGCGATACAAAGTCGTTAAGAGACTAAAAGCGTCAATTTCATTCTAAAATATAAAATCCAGTAAATTAAAAAAGAAAATAAATGAATGTAATCACAAGCTAACGTTGTTGTCGCCGACGTTTAATTTTAAAAATTAGATTCGTTTTCATTTCCATTTCGTGTACAAATAATTTTCAGTAAAGCAATTTTATTTACAAATACAATACAGCTAATCAATGTGCATTGCGTGCTATAAACTATGATTATTATGTTTTTTTTTTTATTTTCAACAATCCATTTCAAAACTATATAATATTATTTCTGAGGATATACCTCATGCATAAAATATCATCATTGGAATATAATTAACTTTTTCCAACTACACGGCCGGAAGCTGGTCCAGGGGCATTCTGCCAATACCGTTTCGGTAACTCTGTAATAAGTTTGCACTGAAGTGGCATTCGCGCATGCGCAATAATTCCGATACGACTCACAAGATGTTATACTCACTCTGTAGTGGACCAACGCCACTCACAGCATTCCAATATTCGATTGATAAGTGGTATTATAATGGTATGACGTACCGGTAGGTACCTATATATAATATACATATAAGTGTATAGGGATATTGTAAATAATGTACATACATAAAAGAACGTCAGCGATTGGGCCTCGACCCGCATACGTTAACTATAATATAGCATAATATTAATTAAAATATATTTTGATCGATGCGACTGTTGCGTGATTTCATTGACGAGGCACTATAATATATTATTATAGGTGTAGTGATATTAATATTATTGTCGTGTCCATACCATTGTTTGGCATAACAACGGCCGCGAAAATCAGTCGGTCGGTCGTCCAAAGCAGATAAATATAACCATGAACCATTATAATTTTTACTTTCTGGCCAAACAGTTTATTCGCGAGTTTCAATAACGATAAATAGATACTCGCCAAAAAACTTTCACGATCGAATTTATTATATTGGTAAGATAACAGTTGTCCAGTACGATTTGCTGTACCTTCGCATGATATTTATATACCGTACCTACCTACTACGATATTTTTCTCCAGTGACCATATTATATTATTGTACATTCATTATTTATATTATGCGTTTTTGCAACCGCGGTATGTATGTGGTATCGTTGTTCTTGTGGGCCGCAGTCCTCGAGGTATCGCTATCGGCGGTCCCGACGAAGTTCAGTGACAAAACTTCACTATCGGTCAGCGATGATCATTCCACCATCGTACGAAACGAACTCATCAATCGGCGGATGATGAAGCCGTGGACGAATCGCCGATTGTCCACACCGCCCTCGGTGGCCAGTACGTCATCGTCATCGGCGGCGGCGGCTTATCACGTGACGATGGTCCCAGTTCGGCGGACGGGTTACGAATACTACAATTCGAAGCGGCCGCCGTGCACGTCACCACCGCCAATATTCATTTTTCACATCACGCTACAGGCGCCGCCTTGGGGGCCGGTGAAGGAAAATCCCACTCCGTCCACCTGCACACCGTCCACCTGCACACCGTCCACCTGCACACCGTCCACATACGCACCATCCACATGCACGCCAAACGACGAAGGCAATTTCAGTATCGTAATTGAAGATATGTGGCCTGACGATGAATGTCCTCCTCCGACTACAACTTGCCGACGGACAACAACAACTTGCCGACCGACAACAACAACTTGTCGACCGATAACAACAACTTGCCGACCGACAACAACAACTTGCCGACCGACAACTACAACCTGCCGCCCGACAACTACAACCTGCCGCCCGACGACCGTGACATGTCGAACGACAACTACAACGTGCCGCCCGACGACAGTAACATGTCGAACGACAACTTCAACTTGCCGACCAACAACAACAACTTGCCGACCGACAACAACAACTTGCCGACTGACAACAACAACTTGCCGACCGACAATTACAACGTGCCGCCCGACGACCGTGACATGTCGACCGAAAACTACCACTTGCCGCCCAACAACTACGACTTACCGCACTTCAACAAAGATTTGTCATCCATTTACCACGATTTGTCAGCCATACACCACGACATATCAACCGTTTACCATGACTTGTCACCACATGACTTGTCACCACATGATTTGTCACCCAAAGTAGTATGGATATTTTAGGCGACAAGTCATGGTGAACGGTCGACATGTCACGGTCGTCGGTCGACAAATCGTAGTCCTAGGTCGGTAAGGCGTGTAGGTGAAAGGGCGGAAAGTCGTAGTGAACGGTTTCCCAAAATAGTTTGGTAAATGGCGGAATATCAATGCTCGAATTGGGAAATTGAAAGAAAGGGAATTCAAATAAAAATTAAAAAAACCTCGTTCCAACAGTACATTTATTGAATACCCAACCCGTGGGGGGCCAAGCTCCCCACACCACCCTTAATTCTAAATTACTACCACAATACCATCATATTTTAAATAAATATAATTCCTAATATATATTTCTCTAAGTATTAATATTTTTACACTTTTCAGTTTTCATCATTTCAAACATTACATTTTTTTCCTAGTTGTATTAAAAATAAAAAAGGTGCTCTGCTGTATAGTAGGTTACAAGTGGATTACTGTATAATGGATGGTATTAAATTTTAATTCAATGATATAATATCATTGTATAAGAAAAACGATTCTGAGCGGAGACGGTATGTCAATTTAGGTTTAAGACATATTATGTACATATCTAATAACCTATAAAGGTTATAAAAAATTACCTAAAATAGATACCTGTAATAAATTCCAAATTAATCATATAACAATATCCATTAAGTACTTATAACGCGTTATACATCAACAAAAAACCGTGATACTATCATAGATATATAATAGTATACTTTAAAAGTTTTAATTATCCACGAATAATATACAATCACAACAAAATAACTAAAATAGTTATTCTAGGTTTTTAATATGTAATTTCGTCCAAAATTGAACTTAAAATGACTATAAAAATAAACTGTGCTTGTGTATTTTTTAGATTTTTTTAACAGAATTAACTACTTACGTGGAATCTTGTTTTAAATTTTCAATCCTTATTGAATAGCCGTAGATAATGACATTTTAACTGGTTGTTTATATTTGCATTTCCTATACACGATAAAATTTTCAAAATATTTTGATTTGTTTTAAACTGTTTAGGAACATTTTAAGTTTTGAACTTTTTTAGGTTTTTTTTCTATGAATGTCAATAAAATTTATTTGTTAGGTAAAAAAGCTTGAACATTTAACACAAAGCTTCTATTATGTTGTTACAATTAAGTTTGAAAAATATTAAAAATCTTTAGTCACAGTTTTATTTTATAAGCATTGAAAAATTGTGGTCTACTTGTTATGACATTAAGAACTTCAATTCCAAATCTATTTGATACGAAATGGGAAAAAAAAAGAACTAGTATTAGCATCATGCCTGTTACCACGTTTTAAATTATTATGGCTTGATGGTCCCAAACGTATCATGGCAAATGCCTGGTTAAGATTCCATTTTGAAAATATGGATTATACTTCTAATTCTGAAGCCAGGGAAACTGAAACTCCGATATGTCTAGCAAGTACCTATACAGCTACATTTAAAGAAGATTTTTTCTGTTTACCAGTAGATAACAACAATTCAGTTACAAGTTCTAGTATTGATGAATTATTAGAGTCATATTCAAAAAATCAATCAAAAGAGTTATGTGTGTTGTTATTATATCCAACAGTATTGAAATCCTTTTTAGAATTTAACACACCTCTTCCGTCTAGTGCTCCTGTAGAGCGACTTGTTTCGACAGGTTCCAATGTGATGACTCAAAAAAGGCCCAAATTGATTGACTATCTATTTGAAAAATGTATGCTATTAAAACAGAACAAGGTGTACAACTGTAAAGCTTAAATAGTTTAATAACTATTTGTATTCATAGTATATTATTTTATTTTCAATCATTTGTTAAAATAATAATAATAATAATTTCATTTATTCTTATTAATATTTTATATAACTTAGTATACTTTATACTTATTAATAATTATATATTATTATATTATATATATAATATATTATACTTAAAAGTTGAAAGTACTTATAGAAAAAAAAAAGTATAAGCTAAATACAAACTAAATCTATATTATTAATTATTATACATTATTTTAATTTTTTGTATACCTATTAATTAAATTATTCAGTAGGTACCTATATATTCATTATTTAGTTTCATCTTTTAAGTTCTAATTCAATGATCATTGTTGATTTTACATTATAAATAACAAGGTATGAATCTAAAGCCGAGAGAAAACTAGGACACAAGGTTAACAATGGAACGAAAATTACAACTAGTTCTTTTTTTTAGAGGAATTATATTTGGAACTAGTTCCTTTTTTGAATCAGGAACCAGGATCTGGAACTCGTTCATATTTCAACAAATTAACAAGGAACGGAACGAGATCCTTTTCAAAAGGAACTTTCCCATCACTGCATTACACAACGGTTGTTTGATACGTAACAAAATCGTTGACATGCATAGGTATAAGTAAAATGTCAAACATGTTCTATACTTCTATGATACATTGCTACTAATCGCAAGAGTTATCGCTTATCTGTCATTAGTTTTATACTGTCAATTGTCATTCGAGTTCGTATTATACTAGTCAATATGTGTACCTATTTAGATAATTAAGTTCTGATTAGTTGTGTTAATACTTAGTCAGTTAGTCAATTATGTATGATGGACATATGAACGACGAGACAAACCATATTGAATGTTTTTTTCTTCGGTAAAAAGGTATAAGTACATTATAAAATATAATACTGAAAAATATATGTCTATTCCTATTTAAACAGTGAATTGTAGCTATATAAAATAAAAACTAATAATTAACTATTCCCACATTCCCACATATTTTATTTCTTATTAGACAAATCCGGAGACCAACGTTGTTGCAAAAATTGATGTTGTTGCAGTTAATATAGCTCCAGAAACATTCAATTTGGTATTTAAATAAACGGTCTTGCACCCAAGTACAAAGGGTACTTAAATGAAAAATACATAATGTAATAAATACATAGTTAGAAAATTTAATGTTAATAATGTATTATATTTATTAATTTTGTTATGTTTCTATAATTCTATACATTTTTAAATTTAATAAGATTAATAGGAACTGTAATGTTTTTAGATTCTGAGTGAAACTATGAATGTATTGATTCTACAATGATGTGTGTTTTTTTATTTTTTTATTTACTTCATGTCATTAGTCAAGAATCAACTAAAAATACCTTGTTATGTGTAAATTGAATACATACAAAAAAAATATATTTCATTGGCTTTTAATACCACATACCAGCGTACCCGTGCGTTGTTTTTAGAAAATGTAGTGTGGGAACTCAAATTAAAATCAAAAGCTAGCTAGTGTAGGAGCTGAGTTCCCATGCATCCCCCTCAACCACAAGTCGAGCACTGACTAAATATCAATAATTTATTATACCTAATGAGTATGATTGAATATTAATAATTTCATTCGACCAATATTTATTCTGGTTGCTTGTAAATTACAATGTCATATATTATAAATTATAATTCGCCATAGTGCCATACTATTATATTGTTATGGCGAAAACGTTGTCTCATCATCTTTTTACCTATCCAAAATAACGAGTAAGGTGGTTGTCGGTATTTTTAAAATAGTCGCGTTTGGTATTGTTATAATATATAATATAATAACCGAAAAGTTTTGCCCGTTCGTTACGGGTCGATCGTTGTTTTCGGATATTTATATTGTACTTTGTTGTACGTTCGGCACGTGCTCTCATTTCTCAATACTTTCGGAAAGAAAAACAATTTTTTTCCGGCAATTATAGGAAATTACAATACAACTATATGATATGACCGCACATACGAAAAGTTATGTACACGGTCGGCGGTCAGGGATAACAGGGTATTGTTGTTAATAGGAATTCTGAAGTAGTCTGCAAACCAATGGTCTGTATATTATTATAATAAGGTATACAATTATTTGTAGGTAGGTTTTTCTCGGTTTTTTGTGTTAGCTTTATAATTGAAAATGGGAAAACATGCGAACTATGTGTATGCGGTATGTCGAGAAACACTGTGCAGTGCGTATATCTAAACCATACAGTTTGTACCCATGTAGCGACCGTAATTGGGTTACTTTTACAATGGATAGGTACCTTTAATAATAAAATCATATTTTGTCGTATTAAAATATTAATAATTTTGTTAACAACCACGGCGGTCTGCAAGATTGTCGAATGCTACTTGGAACTTACCATACGCGGGACATAATATATTATTATCTCGCCGGAAAATTAAATAAATGAAAATATATAAGAATAGAAAAAAAAGCGTGTTGTTCGCTAATAAACACTGTTGCCGACGCCGCCGTCGTGTTTCTGATTTCAGATAACGCATCGCTTTTTTTTTTTTGTAAACGGTAATCATAATAATAAAAAAAAATCGTTATTATAATAATAATATAATAATATAATATGACTTTAGGCGGCGATCGATGGACTCGACGCTGCGCCGGTGCGGGCGGGCAGCACCGGTTTAATAATAATAATAATCATAATATTATGAGATGATTCGATTAGCACGACGTGTCCGCCGCCGCGTAAGTCGTTATCACGAATTTCCAATATATTATTACGTATAGAAATGTGCGAATATATAATAATAATATGATACATGCACTTGATGGCAGAAACGTGTGATGTCTAACGGCCGGTAGTCCGCTCAGGATCTTATCATCGGGCCGCGTATTATACATAATATTGTATAAAACGTCTAACAATTTGAAAATCGAGGAATGGGGGGGGGGGGGGGAGACGGAAACACATCTGGATGGAGGTAATATATTATTATAATAATATACTAGGTTTGACTACAAACGTGTATTGTTCGATTGTACGACGATTATAAACGTCGTGTATTCGCGTATCGTTGTTCATATGGTGGTTATTGCCAGGGAGCAGTTGCACATTATATATTATTATTTAGCATTATATTCGCGTCAAAACACGTCGAACCGATAAAATAATAATAATCGTATTATGAGGTGAGCACTCGTGGTAGGTATAAGTCGCATCCGATGATGATTAACGACTTTATGCTATCGTATAATACACAGGTACCTGTAGTCGTTGGCAAAGAAAAAAATAAATGATCGATTGTACCATTGACGAGAACTGTTATAATAATATAATGTACAGAGGAGGAAAAAAATCTCGTGACGAAAAATTATATGTCATAAATTATTATATTGTATCGACTTATTTGACTTTGGACCAGTATTACATGCTTATATCCTATACAATTTTAATTACGAAGGAACGTAACCACGGTCGCAGTGCATCGCTATATTGTTCACTCGTTTACGTGCTTTGATGTTCGATGTGAGATGTATATTATTATTGCTGTGTCGAACGTTGTTATTTAATTTTAATTTTTTTCTCCTCGATATAGGTATTAGGCTTTTATCTTCGAATCCGTTTTGGTTAGATGACTTGAAGAAGTCCTGTACCTGTTGCATAGTACGTGTATGTTGAAAAAAGACACGAGCCATAGTATAATATAATGATACAATCAGTATGAGAAGGTCGTAGATAACCTCAAGTCTTATAGGTAGGTAATAATAATGATAGGTGAATATTATATTCGTTAAGTGCCATTAACAAAATCATTATAATGTATACTATTGTACTGTGTATGTCAATAATTATGGATTTCAAAATCTAACTAAAATATGACGTGTACCTATATCGAAAACAGAATGACAAATACTGCATAGATAGTGTAGTATAGTACTCCTTTTGGGTCTTCCGTAAATACGACCATTGATTTATAATCAATGATATGCAAGGGCGTAGCCAAGAGGGGAAGGGATAAAATTTCACCCCTCCCCCCTTATCTGTAGTTAACTAATATACTAATGTTTAACGATATTTTAAATCGAGATGGCAGTTTAAAAAAACACACGATTGCCCATCATCACTAAATCGTGTACATGACAACCTAATAATTTCTAAGTCCAACTGAATATTTTGTTAGCGCGTGCGCAACACGTCCGTTTTCACGAATACTGTGGCGATCTGGCGCGTTTCGCTTGCATACAGACACAGGCTGTATGCTAATAGTAATATAAAGAAGTGTGTCTTTTTAGGGACGAAAAAATATAAAAAAAATAACCTCGTTCGTCGCGTAAACCGATTTAACTGGCCCGTTAGAACAACGACGAAACGTCAATGATGAGTGCCTCCCATAGGTCTTGTCACGCGTTTTTGTCGGATATCGGCGTAATAACAAACGGCCGTCGGGGGCATTAGCCCATAAACAATGCGATAACGAATGTGTATATTTTTCGAACAAAAGATTTATGTGTAATCAAATAATCTCAAACAATATGTATATAGATAGGTACACGTCTTCGGCATAAACGACTCGTAGTTGTGAACAGTGAACGGTATTATTATAATATTATAATAATATCGTATATATATCTGTGTGCGTGTGTGTGTGTCTGTGTGCGATTCGGTTCGCGATAAAGCAAAAGTCGACGTAAAAAATATAATGGTAATAAAAAAAACTTAGCGATATTAAAATAATACAATATTCCGTGAAAGCGTAAAAATACGTCATAATATTATTGACGGTGATGCCGAAACGTGACCGGCGAGGAAGTTCAGCAATGTTAAACAATAATAATATTGAACTTACCCATAATGCTCGAAGTCCGTTTTATGCTATTACGCGTAATCGAAGTGCGTCTGAAGATGTGAGTATTGTAAAAAAAAAAATGGAAAACAATAATAGGATAAGACACATGAAAAACATGATGAAAATCACACCGTGTGGAAAATGGAATTGTAAAAATATGTCT